AAGTAACAACTCCTCCTGTTTGCTGGAGCCAACAAGGGCCGGATTAACATAGCTGCTGATGGAGCTGCAGCTCCAGGCCCAGGGAATAGGCCCATTGATATTTTTTTTTTTTTTTACACACACTACTCTTAGGGTTTCCACCTGACTTATTTTATTGGCACAGCCAGTATTTGAGGCTGCCTGGCCGGTGCTGATATTACAGTCATACTGGCAATACAAATGCTGGTATTTTTCTCAGTATATGATGCAATACCAGCACTGGCCAGGAGGGGTCGCAGCTACAGAGAGTCCAGACAGCAACTCCCACCCTGCAGAGACAGACTACAGGTCAGGGAAGTGAGGGGTGGGCGGAAATACTGCAAAGAGACATGGGGTCTCTGAGACACTAAGGGACATTGGGAGACGACATGACAAACACTTGGGGACACTGGGAGACATGGGGACACTGAGACACTAAGAGACATTGGGAGACATTATGACAGACACTTGGGGACACTGGGAGACATGGGGACACTGAGACACTAAGGGACATTGGGAAAAATTATGACACAGACATTTGAGGACACAGAGACACATGGGGACACATTGTCCACATGTCTCCCAGTGTCCCCATGTCTCCCAGCCAGTGTCCCTGATGTCTCAGTGTCCCCATGTCTCCCAGTGCCCTCTAGTCTCCCAGTGTCATCTAGTCTCCCAGTGTCATCTAGTCTCCCAGTGTCTGTGTCCCCATGTTTTCAAGGGTCCCCTATTTTCCCAGTGTTCCCATGTGTCCCAGCCAGTGTCCCCTAGTCTCCCAGTGTCCCTGGTGTCTCCGCGTCCCCAAGTCTCCCCATGTTCCTAGTGACATGGTGACCCTAGGAGACATGGCGACATAGACACATAGGAATACTGGGGGACAAAGGGAGACATAGGTCATTGAGACACTGTGATACATAGGGTCACTGGGAGACCTGGGGACATGACACTAGGGGACACTGGAAGACTAGGGGACACTGGGAGACATGGGGCACTGAGACACTGATACATAGGGGCGCTGAGACCTGGGTTAATCGAGACATGGGGCACTGGGAGACATGGGGACACTGGGACACTTGAGACACTGGAAGCAATCCATCTATACAGCAGAATCAAACCAAGTAGTTTTTGTAGTGATTTTACAAACATTTTCTCTTATGTCACGCCTTGGCATTTGCATCATGTTATGTCACCCATACATAATTATGCAAATTAGTAAGTATGTTTTTCCAAGAAAGGTGGCAACCCTAACTACTTTTCGTATACTCTTGCTTAAGTATGGAAACTTAATAGGGATGTATGGGAACAAAACATGTGTGGACTGGCTGACAATGAAATTAGTTTAGGTAATGCTGACTTTGGTCTCTCTAACACTGTGGCTTGTTCACTTTCTTCTACACTCATTACATACAGCTTTTCTCTGTCCCAGATTATACACCAGGAGCTTCTGCCTGCTAGTAAGAAGGTAAGGAGACAAGTGGACCAGCGAATGCTAGGGGACAGTCCTTAGAAAGCGTTGAGTGAGCGCATCATTAGATGCATTTTGCCACGCTCAGGGTGCTGTCTGCATAGTATGCCCTTAGTTGGCCAGCTTGCATGCTTGGCAGGCAGCCTGAAATGCATTCATGCCAGGCTGGCCTTCCAATTCTTTGGGCAGCCATACCCTCTTTTTGGGCATATTCGCCCCTTTTTTGCAGGTTACGTGATTTGTGTCAGTGGCACACCCTTTTACCATGCCTATTGACTTCCTGCTTGACTGGACACTGCTGTTAGGGGTTATGGATTTATTTGAAAGATGAAAACATAAATTAGAGAGAAATTAGCATAGGGTATGTGTTTTCTTATAGCTGCTGTTTTCTTTCCGTCAAGCACCATCTCCTTCAGATACGACATTTGGGAGTGTTTGTGGTTTTGGTCGATAAGATCATAATTGTCAGCACCAGGCCCACTGGGCTGTTAATCTGGCCCTGGTCTGAGTATAGGAATACCCCAGTATGTACCTTTGCCAGGTATATGTGGATGCTGAATGGGCACAATTGAGATGCAGCCAGTTTTTTTCTAACTTTGAAGTTTTATGCTGTGTCCATGTTCCATTTTGGAGTAGTTTAGCTGATTGGTTATTCAAACTACCCACAAACGCATACCATTTTTTAAAGAATACACCGAGGGGGAATTTCAAAAGGCATATTTTGAACCTTAGGGTGGAATAATTTTTTCTCTCGTTTGTTCCAGGTGTAGTGGTAATGAGCATTTTGAATGTATTTTTTTACTTTTTAAAACTTGTTTTTTTACCGTTAACCCATAACTACAGTAAGCAGCACTAACAGTAAATTCCCCAATTCCTCACTAACTTCCACCCACCCCAGCTAGCTTGCATACCATAGAATGGAATAAATAATTTTGTAATATTTGAAGACCGAAGAGTGCATCCTTTCTATCCATTTATTATATATATAAAACATTTTAAAATAATTAAATCAATTAATAATATAAATTTAACCCCTGAGGGTTAAAAAAAATAAAATAAAAGTTAACCCTCGGGGCTTAAAAAAAAATAAAAAAAAAATCAGATCACAGTAAAATACTGTGATTTGTATTTGGATCACTGTAGTCAGTGATCAAATGGCAGGGAAGGGGTTCATTTCTACACAGGGAGAAGATCAGAAGCACTGATCCATCTCCCTGCACAAGAGTCCTTGCAGCACATGTGCTCGCTCTGACAGCTTGTCAGAGCAATCACAGCTGCAGGGACATGCGATCGGGTGCTCCCAGTCTGCCTCGGATACTGAGGCAGACTGGAGGGGTGTTAACCCTGCGATCGCCGTTACAGTTAAATAATGAATGTAGCTTAAATTGCAGTCTCTCAGCTTTAATTTGAAGGTGTACACATCCAGATTGGAGGAAGGGTCTAGGACAGGCATAGGCAACCTTCGGCACTGCAGATGTTTTGGACTACACTTCCCATTATGCTTTGCCAGCATTATGTGTGTAAGAACATTATCAGGGATGTAGTCCACAACATCTGGAGTGCTGAAGGTTGCCTATCCCTGGTCTAGGAATTAAAGCTCTTAAATATGTAGTCCAATCTTTATTGACCAAAAGTAATTAGACTCAAAAGCTGTGTGCTATTCTTTCATTATTACTTAATCAATTAAGCAGGTAAAAGGTCTAGAATTGATTCCAGGTGTGGCATTCACATTTTGAAGCTGCTGCTGTTAACTTACAACATGCGGTCAAAGGAGCTCTCATTGTAATTGAAAGAGGCCATCCTTGAACCGCAAAAAGAAATAAAAATCAGAGAGATAGCAGGAACATTAGGAGTGGCCAAATCACCATTTGAGCTCTTCAACACAAAAAGGACTGGACGTACATCAAAAACAACAGTGATGGATGATTGTAGGATCCTTTTACATGGTAAAGAAAGCCCCTTCACAATATCCAGCCAAGTGAAGAACACTCATATCATTATCCAGGTCTAAGAAGACTTCACGAGAGCAAATGTAGAGGGTTCACCACAAGGTGCAAATCATTCATAAGCGTCAAGAATAGACAGACCAGATTAGATTTTGTGCAAAAAAAAAAAGAAAAAAATTTGAAAAAAGCCTGCCCAGTTATTTAATAGCATTGTCTGGACAGATGAAACCAAGATTAACCTGTACCAGAATGATGGGAGGAAAAAAGTATGGAGAAGGCTTGAAATGGCTCATGATCTGTATATACCACAACACCTGTAAAAAACAGTTGAGGTAGTGTAATGGTGTGGGCATGCATTGCTTCCAATGCCACTGGGTCAATAATGCTTATTGATGATGTGACAGAAGACAGAAGGAGCCGGATGAATTCTGAAGCGTATAGGGATATATTGTCTGCTCAGATTCAGTAAAATACAGTGATTTCATTGGATGGCACTACACTTTACAGATAGACAATGACTCAAAACACACTGCGAAAGCAACCCAGGATTTTTTTTTAGAAGGCATTGAAGTGGAATATTCTGCAATGACTGGGTCAATCACATGATCTCAACCTGATCGCAGTGTTTACATTGCCCCTAGAGATAACTCCTGTGGCCACTACTCAAATGGTACAGTGCTGCCATTTAGCATCTCCAAGCTCTGCATGAAGATGCTGAATTTTCCTCATATAGATGCATCCTGCCTTCTTGCCGAATTCAGTCAATCCAATGCATTGGGAAAGCATTGGATTGGCTAAAAATCCTAAATTCTGATGAGGTCACTAAAGAGGTGGATCGGTGACGGTGGACCCACGCAGGGCTGGGATTAAGGTAAATTTTAACTCCTTTCTAAGGGGGCTAAGGATGGGGGGGTGGTATGGTGGTTTTAACACTATAGGGTCAGGAATACATGTCTGTGTTCCTGACTCTATGGTGTTCCTTTAAGGCAGAAAGAAACAAGAACAAACAACAACTGAAGACAGCTGCAGTTAAGGCGTTCCAGACTTCAAGCAGTCATTGCTTGCAAAAGATTCTCGACAAAGTATTAACAAATTAACATTTTAGTTATGAGTGTGTACAATTACATTTGAGTCCCTGAAATAAGTGAACTGTGTATGAATATGGTTGCAATTCTTTTTATTTATTTATTTATTTTTCCTTTTAATTCTTTATAATGATTGTGCATATGGTAACAGATAGGCTTGCTTTGTCACAACAGCGGGTGCAAGCACACAATTTTCGAACATAGTATAAACAGAGGCATGTCATATAAACAGTAGCACATTTTTAAATTAAGGTATTATGTGATAAGGACAACATGAAGACCGGTATTCCAGTCGTTGTTCTATTGCACGAAGGCAGACAATTAAATTTGCCGGTCTGGAGCAACTAAGGTAATGCTATAGCCTTTTCTGGATATGGCTTGCGAATGTGCCCGTCGTCTGGCATTGCATTTACGTGGCTGGGTGAAGGAGTTGTTTGGGTAGATTGCCTAAGGTACGTTTGCTAGTACCAGACTGGAACCTGTGTGCTAGTCGTAAGTAGTAGGGAGGATGGGAGAACACAATCTTCCTGGGCATAGCTGACCGGTACGGACACCCCATGAGTGAATGCCTTCTAGGTATAGTTGGCCAGTCACTCCTTTTCTAGTCTGGGTGTGATGTTGGTGGAGCTTTGGCCAAGATGGGGTGACCTGTATTGATAGGGCATAGACTGAGCTTGAAGGTCGGGTAGTAAGACGATCAGGTGGGCCCAGGTAGTGAGAGTCTAAGCTCTCTCATGGTAGTTTATAGCTTTCTAACTGGCATTAAAGCTATGTAATACATTGGTCATTAATTAACTGAAACATTGTAAAACAACAAAAGAGAACATAAGAGAATTGAGTAAATTGGAGGACGTAATACAACATAATGATACAGCACTGCTGTTAGCATCATGGTGTGTCAAGTAGCTCACAGGGTTTCTCTCGGTCGAGGAATGAAAGGTACAGTCCTTGACGCGTCCCATGCGTATGATGTGGTTGGATTTTCTGGAGGGTCTGAACTCTCTGGAAGACCCAAGGCGCGGAGGAACGGGACCGCTTCAGGAAAGTGTGGTGAGTTTCAAGGTAATGCCATTGTGGGCGACTGTCAGAGCTCTTGGTAATGTCCATCTCTAGTTTATCTCTTCGTCCCGAAGCCGGCTTGTTACGGGCCTCAGTGATTGTCTCCATAGTAGCGTGTTGCCTGTAAGGTCCTGAAAGAACGAGAGCTGTGTGGATTCAAAGTCAAATGGAGTCTTGCCTTTCGCCACAGCTGAGATGCGTTGCTGTCTGTCAGGTTTTGGCACTGCATGATCACATCGCTTGAGGCTGGTTTAGGTGCCTGTCTGGGCTTGTTTACATGGAAGAAGCCATCGAAAGCTATTTTCTTCGCCTGAGCATGGGCATCAGTGCTGCTGCAAGCCTTCTGAGGTAATGAGGTAACCAATTGAGGACCAATTGAGTCTGGTATGCCCCTGATCTTTAGATTGTTGTGCCTATTCCTGTCCTCTGCCATGTCGAATCTTGTCAGCAGGGCTGTGTGGGAGGGTTGGTGGTGGAGGAAATCTTCCTTTAGGGCCTTAACATCTTGTTGTACCTCCCTGATGTCTTCTTCGGAGGCCAGCACATGGGCAGTCACCACCTGAACCTCTGTTTTCATCAGGTCCATATCGGCCACAGACATTTGTTTTAACTCCAGGAGGAGGTTCTTGATGTTCAGCTTAGTGGCTGGAGACGACTGGCCCTGTGCTGTGTGCTTGTGTTGGAGGGTCCACGGACTCATCCAGGGCCTGCTCCGAGGAGATTGAACCAGCATCTTGTGGGTCGCTGGGCATTGAAGCATGGTGCCAATGTTCCGAGAGTCGGTACCTATGTTTTCATGCTGTCGGCAGTGTGGTGAGGGCTCTTTCCGATTGCCTGGGAGGCGTTGTAAGCCTTCGGCCAGCTTGTCAGGTACGAAAGTATTGCCTGCCCTGGTGAGGGAGCGAAGTAGGCCCCAGACCTGCGGCGCACTTTCCTGCCTGTCTGGATGAATAAGAAAGGCATCTGCCAGCAGCTCACAGCACCGGGAGGAGAAGGCAAGTGAAATATTTTGTCAATTGCGTGCTGGAATCGTGGATTTAGATGGATTTGAATCATTTAGACTAGGAACTCAAGGAAATGGCGTCTTACAGAGTCCAAATTATGAAAATTGTGTTAGTGTTCAAATATTTCTTTACCTAACTATAAAAGCTAATGATAGATAGAGAGATAGATAGTATAAAAAGTAACTGATCTGTGTGTTATTGGAAAATAATATAATTGAAGGGTTCTGGAGGAATCATAGTAGCCCAAAAGACAAAAGGTTTAGTCGTTTAGAATGGCCTCCAGAACCTGACAATGGTATTAATTGTTCTAATACACATTTTGTGGTCAGGCATCCTTTTTATTAAATGATTTTTATTGGGGTAAGAGCAGTGTATTTGTTAAGCGGAGGTCTTTATTGTCACTGTCTGGTGGAGCAGTATTAACAAAAATGTCAGGTATAAAAACAGACCAAATGCTCCAGTCCTGTGTGCTGTGAGAGTGCTAAGATAGTATGTCTAGTTCATTGCACCTCCTATAAGGACATTATGAAAGTCACATGGTTTGCCTAATGTTTTTAAAGGGCACTTTTGCTTCTTACTTTCCAGCAGCTTAAAGGACCACTATAGGCACCCAGACTACTCCAGCTCAATGAAGTGGTCTGGGTGCTAGATCCATCTAGGGTTAATCCTGCAGCTGTAAACAGAGCAGTTTCAGAGAAACTGCTATGTTTACACTAGGGTTAATCCAGCCTTTAGTGGCTGTCTCATTGACAGCTGCTAGAGGCGCTTCCGCGCTTCTCACTTTGATTTTCACAGTGAGAAGACACCAGCGTCCATAGGAAAGCATTGAGAAATGCTTTCCTATGGACTGATTGAATGCGCGCGCGGCTCTTGCCGCGCATGCGCATTCGGCGGATGACCTCTTGAGCCTGTATGTAGACAATATGACTTCCTAATGTTAAATTCATGACATAAACATACTGATTCTGTTAAGATCGCGTAAGTCTCCCTCAAAGACAAGGTGATCTGGCAATCACCATGCTCGGTACCACTGGCAGGTATAAGGCTAAGGACAGAGACAGAGAAAGAGTGTAGCAGTTTGTGTCGCCTGTGACTCTAGCAGCTGTACAAGGGCAATGTCATGCCTTTATGCCACATGCAGCCTTGGAAGGCAACCAACCTGGGTACCAATCTACTACTGTACAGGCAAAAATACCCTGTAACACAATTTTTCTGTGCACTTTGGGGTCTTTTCTCTGGTCCCCCAGATGAAATCTAAGGACAGCAGGGCTGGTACAACATTAGGACTGTCTCTCTGAATTCATGACAGTTAACAAGTATGCATTTCTCATTACGAAGAGGTTAAACGATTTGCATTTTTGTAATTACTAAACATTATCACTGCCTGAGAAAAACACAGTTAATATCATACTTTCTTGCTCGTTTTTAAAAGTGTCAGTGCTTGCCGCAGGTGTCTTGAGGTTATATATATTAACCAGAAGGGATGCTGCCACATCACCCTCAGAAAATACCCAATTAAACATTGCCCCAGCAGCATGCAATCCTTTGGTGAAAAAGGCAAACAGCAATAAAGTTTCAAGAATATCTTTCTGGGTTACTATTTAATGATCGTGGCGTGGCAAAGTAATTAAAATGTATTTTTAAAAGGTTTTTCAGTTAGCTAATATGTTAACCATTTCAACAAGTAACTGCTTGCCTGTTGTTTAATGAGAATATCCAAATATACATGTGCTGTAAAAGATAAATTTTGTGGCGTTGATGTGTTCCCCTTTAGAAAAAATAGGCAGGAGGCTGAACCCATGACATAAGCTAATGGGTGGAGTTAAAGGAAAAAATCTGCAACATTTGTGTAAACGTGGAGATTTGCAGAGAATGGTAAATGGCATAAAAAACATGCACAACAATAATGCGCATGTGCAAATACAGCCTGTTATCCCTTAAAGTGATCAGTGTCTTATGCACTACTTAACATGGTGCCTTGTTAGTAAATGTTTTTGACAAGCTAGAGTTTTTCATGAAATGTGGAAAGCAAATAGGAGTTTGTTACTCAATAGGGAATAAGAGAGAACTGAAACATAAATGAACATTATAGCTAAAGAGAAAACATTTTCCTGAATTACATTCCAAAATAATTGTGGATAGTACTAGCATTCTAGTGACCAAGTTGCTTATATACACTGTCAAAAATAACCTAATACATTTCTAGCAACCAATTTCATTACCAGGCAGAAAAAACACATTTTCACAAAGTTACATATACCCAAATGTTACATTCCTGGATAGCTCTGATCTGGGTGAACAACATATCCAAAAATCACCCAGATCAGAGCTGATGTTCAAAAGTTTCATGGAAATATCTTTTTAACCGGCCGCAAGCATGGCTTCATTCCCAAAATAGTTCCAGAGAATTAGGCTGAGCGGCCCGTCTATTTCCAATGATAAAAGTGCACTTCAAATAGTCGAATGGGACCTTCATGCACAAAGTCAGGGTTGAAGTGTGTTCGGTAGATTATTTATACCGAACGGCGCACTGTCCGTACATATTTAGCCGAACATAGATGGAGGTGGAAGTCCCTGCGGTGTTCGTGCCGTCGAGTGTCTGATTTCAGTTCCATGGCAAAGTACCACTGACCGCTTTCCCTTAAACAAGATGCCTGCCGCCACGTGTTCGACTATACGAATGGCAACCATTCAGTCGTTTGTCAATTTGGCTGTGGTTAACTCCCAGGCTGGGGGGTAAATGGGCTGCACACTCCACTTGTGTGTGGTCCAACTGTTCGGTTGTTTGTTTGGTAAAAGAACACCATAAGTAGAATCCATTCGGTAGCCCCATATACTGAACTGCAGAGGGGAACAGGCATAAACAAAGCCTGTCCACAGTGCTGAAGCCAGGTCTAATACATGGGCCATTGTCCTGGGGCAAGAGGCTGGCAAACTAGCCCCTCCAAAAACTCGTGGCAAACTCACAGGAAAAGGGGAGTTTGTCACACCACCCATTGTACAGAGCTATGGAATTTGCTGGCGCTATATAAATAAAATAATAATAATAAACCAAAACTTAAAACCACCTGCCCAATATCGTGTAGGTCCCCCTCGTGCTTCCAAAATAGCTCTGATGTGTCAATGCATGGACTCTACAAGTCCTCTGAATTTGTACTGTGGAATGTGGCACCAATACATTAGCAGCAGATCCTTTAAGTCCTTCAACTCGTTCTCCTGGCACTATAATGTTAATAGGTCTCCCCCACCCGCCGCGCTGAAGTGGGAGGAAGGGGTTAAAATCTTACCTTTCTCCGGTGCCGGGCTCCCTCGGCGCTGGGGACTCTCCTCCTCCTTCCGATGTCATCGGCTCAATGCGCATGCGCAGCAAGAGCCGCGCTCACATTCAGTCCAGTTTTCTATGGACGGCAGCGTCTTCTCACTGTGATTTTCACTGTGAGAAGTGCGTAAGCGCCTCTAGCGGCTGTCAATGAGACAGCCACTAGAGGCTGGATTAACCCATATGTAAACATAGCAGCAGTGGTGTACACATGACCCATGGTGCCCCGGTGCGAAAATTGATCCCTCGCGGGCCGGGCCGCAACACATGGCGGTGGACACCTGGTTGCAGGGGTTACAGGGCTACGACCCCTGCGACCGCGGTATGTACGCCAGTGCATGCAGATGCACACACACTTAAAGGACCACTACAGACACCCAGATCACCTCAGCTCAATGAAGTTGTCTGGGTGTCCGGTCCCTCTAGTTTTAACCCTGCAGCTGAAAACATAGCAGTTTCAAAATAGCATGTTTCACTGAGGGTTAATCCAGCCTCTAGTGGCTGTCTCACTGACAGCCGCTAGAGGAGCACACTGAATGTCCATAGGAAAGCATTGAGTAATGCTTTCCTATGGGCGGTTTGAATGCGTGCGCGGTTGCATTTGGAGCTGAGAGGCTGAGGGATCCCCAGCGCCAAGGGAGTCCGGCGCTGGAGAAAGGTAAGTGCTGAAGACACACACACACACTTACAGACGCATACACACTAGCTAACAGACACACACATTTACTGACAGAGACACACTCAGCGACAGACATACATACACACTCACTTACAAAACATACACTCTCATTGACAAACACAAACTCACTAACAGACATCAAACAGACTCACTAACACACACACACTCAGTAAGACACACACAGTAACACACTCACTGACACTCACTAGCAGACACACACACTAACACTCACTCTAACACTCACACTCACCCACACTCACATACACTAGCAGACACACACACTAACACTCACTCTAACACTCACACTCACACTAACACTCACTCTAACACTCACTCTAACACTCACTCTAACACTCACTCACACTCTAACACTAACACTCACACATGTTTAAAAAAAAAAAAAAATTGAATCCCCCCAGTCTCCTTACCTTTTGGAGTGCTGGGGGGATTCCCTGGGGTCCAGTGGTGCTGCTGGGCTCCTGGGCGGGTGGCCGGTTGGGCAGGCGGGTGCGCGAGGGAGCAGGGCCAGCCTCGGGGGGGCCCTGGGGTGGTGGGCTCCTGGGCCCCCCAGGGGAAGAGGCTGGCCCAGTGGGTACACACCGGGTCGCAGGGGCGGCCGGGCCCCCTGGTGGGCTGGGCCCGGTCGCAGCCGCGACCCCTGCGACCCTGGTATGTACGCCATTGCATAGCAGTGTCTCTGAAACTGCTATGTTTACAGCAGACAGGGTTAACCCTAGATTGACCTGGTACCCAGACCA